AAATAGTTAATTTGATACTAATATTGATATATTTTTGTCAAATTTTTGTGATATCTTCAAACATATATTTTATTCAAAAATAAAAACATTATTGCTTTCTCAAAATCACATAAAGCCATATTATAACATCAACTGAGATAAAGAATAAAATACAATATTAAAATCACGTTGTATCTCGCTGCATTGCGCGAGTACTTTTGTAGTTGTTCTAAACTTCTCTTGTTGGATATGAGGCTCGTGGGATTGACGTCAGGGGGAAAGGATTCAGCTTTTATTAGAGATTGACCATCTGTTAGTACTACTCCAAATCTTGATTTATCGTTAGAACGTTAGATATATACATTTATAAATCCGATAAAAGTATAGGCTAAAAGAATTAGGTGATATTTATAATTTTAAATTTATCCCGTAAAACAACTTCCTACTATTTTTCACTACAAGCAATCTCCAAAAGGCCCACTAAGAAGGTGTTTGGGATTGCTTATTTAAAACAACTTATACTTATCTGCAAAAGCATTTATCAACTTATTATAAGGCAGAAGAGTTTAACTTCTTTAAAAACTTCTTATTACCGGTTTGACACCGATATAAGTTGTTTATCCAAACACTCAAAAGTATTTATTACCAGAATAAGTCAATAAATTATTTTTATAAGCAATCCCAAACACCCCGGATGAAATCAAATTTTGATTAAATGAAACTGTTGGGGTGTTTCAAGTGCCTTCCATGATCACGGATCGAGTTTGACAACCGAGATCCAATACCACACACGCCACACGTGTCCAAATACCCAAGTTTATTCAATACGTGAATACAACGTTGTAGAATATTGCTAGTATTATGGTCTTATGTCATGTATGTATATAATTTTGTATGGGTTGTTATTTTCATAAAATGTTGGGACGAGAGCTTTAGCCTAACAGATAAGTAGATAAACATCCCTCCACAATAAAATGCATGCTAAAAAAGACATAATAACATAACCAAAGCTTGCATATTGAATAAATAAAAACATCCCAGCAGCAGCATCATTCATATTTGTTCAGGCCTTAAAAACCTTTAATAAATTTCCAAAACCTAAATAGAAAAGAACAAACCTATAATAACCTCCGGAGTTGGTTACTCGGACCGGTTTGCATACCTTTCCACGTTCTTGTCAAGGTTCAACCCCACCATGGCTTCACCCAAACCGCAACTCACGTCCGCGAGAATTGTTGGGTCGGTGTAATGTGTGACTGCCTGAACAATAGCACGGGCCCTACGTGCCGGATCACCACTCTTGAACACACCCGACCCAACAAAAACGCCATCACATCCTAACTGCATCATCAGAGCTGCATCAGCTGGAGTAGCAACACCACCAGCAGCAAACTGCACCACCGGGAGCCTCCCCAGTTGCTTGGTCTGCATCACCAAATCATATGGGGCCGCGATTTTCTTTGCGAAAGTGAACACCTCATCATCATCCATGTTCGCCAGAACCCTAATGTCCCCCCTAACAGACCTAACATGTCTCACCGCCTCAATTATGTTACCTGCAAATCATAACCATAAATATATCTCGCTCGAATGTAGAGTCTAGGGTCCAGGAGTAGAGAGGTTGTTTATGTGAAAACCCCTGATCTTGCGATTCAAATGTTGAAAGAAACTAGCAACAAAAGAGGGTGCATGAACAGGCATCAAATACAATAAAGATAAAAGACAGCAAGGGCAATGACAAGGCAAATCCCTAAAATTCCCTTTGCCGCTGACAAATAGATAGAATCTTAAGAAACAATATCAATCACACCAAAAACTCATAAATGCAAATCGATTGACTGAGAGATTATGGACCTAATTCAGTACAAAGAAAACAAGTCTAGATATCAAGAATTCTAGTTTTCCTCTAAACCCCATGAACTTTTATCAACGTGAACGTGTATCCTTTCATGGGTTATCACTGATTTCTTAGAGATACATCATCGGTAACTTTTTGAATCCTTTACGAGTTCAAACTCTAGTGATTTGGGGGTTTTACCTTCATAGCTTTCATATACTAAACAGTATCTATACAGAATTCTGTTCCATATGTTCATATGGATCACTAAACCATGGTCCATTCTTTGATCCAACTTCCGTTCTCTACTCGTTGTCCTACTTCAACATCAAAAATCAGACAAACCACTTCCAAGCTTAAGAGTAGGAAATAATGACAATTCAAAATCATAGTCATCTTTAGTTGGTTTCTGATAAGTCCTGTATGGAAATGGATTGGGGGTTTTTTCCATAGATGAAAGTAGCGTATTTTTTTAATTGAGATTGGAAAGGTTTGAAAAAGTGAGGCTATATGTATAAAACTCCTCCTAAAAACTTACAGAATAAGTCATTTTTTATATCATTAAACCACCACCTAAGAGTGTATAGCCGACCAAATAAGTTGTCTGCTAACAAACAGGCCATTATTAACTACTGATAAGACACAGATGGACTCAGCTGAGTAATATCAATTTATGATCACATAAACTCAATTAACATTTCGGCTGTTTCACTATTTGGCATTATTTGTCTCATGATATAGTGCAAAAAATAAAATATAATTGTTCAGTAGAGAGAACAAACCATTTAGAGGGTTTTAGTACGAGACAATTTTTTTTCCAAATAAGATTCATCTCTTACCGATTCATTGAACATTCATTGAACAGATAAACAAAAAAAACCTTGTCAGCGTCTTCTTTTTTGGTGTGATTTTCCCTTGAAAACTGGTAAGAATTTCTAAACTGAACCCCTAAATCCGATTCTACATGTTTCTTAAACCTATCCATCTGAACGCACAACCCTTATTGCACAAATTACAACCCAAAAATCAAGAAAATAATAGGAGGATATATCTACCATATCATATCCAATAGTAGGAAACATACCAGTCCCTGCCTCTCCTTTGGTACGAATCATGGCGGCACCTTCACGAATCCTCCTCAAAGCCTCCCCCAGATTCCGGCAACCACAAACAAATGGAATCCTAAAATTGTGCTTGTTAATGTGGTTCATATCATCCGCCAACGTCAATACCTCGCTCTCATCCACATAATCCACCCCAATGGCTTCCAGAATCTGGGCCTCCACGAAATGCCCAATTCGAGCCTTAGCCATGACGGGTATCGTGACGGCCTGTTTGATTTCCTTGATGAGTTGTGGGTCGCTCATCCTTGCGACGCCGCCTTGAGCACGGATGTCGGCGGGGACGCGCTCTAGTGCCATGACGGCACACGCGCCAGCTTCCTCAGCTATTCGAGCTTGTTCGGCGTTAACTACATCCATGATAACGCCGCCTCGAAGCATCTGAGCAAGACCGACTTTCACGGAGAACGTAGACGTCTTGCTCTCCGTTATCGCGCCGTTGCCGTAAACAGCTACTACTCCGGTGCCAGCCATCGGTTTTTTTACCCCTTTCTGTTCTTCGATTTGTGTGATTTTCAGAGGGAAACACTGTAGGACGGCTGAAGGGATAGAGAGAGATTGAGAATGTGTATGAGGGGGTGGCGAATTTTGCGTTTTGAATGCTTCTGATATATTGCCATTGGGGGTGAGGAAGAAAGAGGATATGTATGTGTGAGAGTATGAGACTACAAAAGTGGTTAGTTTAGGCCCTTCTACTTTATACCTTTTATCAAAAATGACCACTAAGAAGGCATTCTCTATATTATTTTATTTCCAACGAGTCAAAGTGGATTGTCCCACACTAGCACTTCCACACAATAATTCTACCAAAAAGGATCCTATTACAGGAATAGCTTCAGGTACACTTGTAAACCAATTACACCAAAAGATGCAGTCAATACACCCAGAACCACACTTGTAAACCCAAGTTAATTCATATGTTTGCAGTGTAGATTAAAGTCAAAATAACAAACGGTACCATACATGCAGGGGCTGAGCATCTTTCCGAACCACACCGGATTTTAAGATACCTCAGAGTAATGTGTAGTGCGTTTTTGCGGGTTTCATCTAATGCAACTTGCATTGTACCAAAGGGTATTTGGTCTAGCGATATATGAGTCATTAGCCTCCCTAAGAGGTCAAGAGTTCAAACCTCACCAAATGTGAAGAGAGTGTGTGAGTTTATTTGTTTCATCTGTCGTATATAAATATTATATACTTCAAAAAAAATTGTATTGTTATCCATACTCGGGTTTTACTTTAGAAATGTCGAGAGTAAATGATGAGAAAATGGATAATGAATTGCGAAGCGTCGTCGTATTTTCGTATTATTTATGATTAGAGTTTAAACTTGAAATATGAAGCGATTAGATAATAAATCTTGAATCGAGAAGGCACAAGTTGTGATGGTTGTTTCTTGTGTATATGTGATCATAAAGGTTATGATTAGACTTGTGTAATTTGGGCTACATTATATATATAATGATAAATAAATATCTGAATTTGAATTTTTATATATAATTATCTAGTAAAAATACAACATATAAATATGCAATCACTAAAAAATTGTTTTGTGATGTAGATTGAACTGTTATATAGAAAGTCAGAACCAGACAGCGATCGGGGCTAACTTCAATTAAAAGCCATAACAGTTTGGTGTTGTAAAATGCAGATTATGTGAGTTCAACGATATTTTAAGCATCCTTGTCGTTCATTATTGATTCCTTAACGAGATGCATGGTTTCTATGAAGTGTTCGAACAAAAAAGATAGAATTGTTAATTCAGTCATTATATAGGGATATAAAATAAAGGATCATTTACACAAACACTTTACCCGGTAACCTTTTACCAATAAGACTCGACACTAATTAATTATTTTATTGGGTAAGATTTTAATCTACAAAACGACTTCATATGTAACAATTTACCCGGTAAACGTTAATCAGAAAAAATTATCAGTTCTTATCATGTTCATCTGATAAGATAATGTGACTTGATAAGCGCTTATCGGATAAGTGTCTGATAAATGGACCCTAAGGCCTATAATAACAATTTAAAAGAGGGATGAATGAAGTATAAATAAAAGTTAAGGGGGTATAAGAGTAAAAAACAATAGTACAAGGGTGTGATAAGAAAGTTAACCTCGTAATTTGAGATCGTAAATTATCGGTACGTGGCCCCTGAGAATTCCAGTCGCAGGCAGATGTAAACATTTTTGGTACAAAAATTAATATATAATTTAAGTATTTGTTACTTTTTTCTAAAATATTTTTTTTAATGATGTATCTACTTTTTTATAGATATTTTTTATAATTTTATTAGTATTAATTATAAAAATATATTTGTAGATTCATCATTTTCATAGTTTTAAAGTAAATGACCAAAATTGTAATCTAGTTTAAGGAAATTTATTAAAAGGTCTTTGATTTAGAGGTATATGAGTCTTTGACTTCCTAGAAAGTTAATGGTTCAATCATTTTCAAATGTAAAAATGATGTGTAAATTTATTTGTTTTATTTGTTATATATAATATTTATACTATATTATAAAACATTTTACAAAAACTCTTAAAAACCTCTTTTTATGGCGTAAAGTACTGTTTATTAATGCATATTACTTAAAACTCAAGATTGCAAGTAGATTGTGCATAAATACAACCTATTAAGGCTTCATATCTGAATCCGTGTAACTAACTGCAGATAAACATAATCAAATACAGGATAAACATCTCATTTTAAATATAAAAAATTCTAAAATATAATTAGGATAATCTCTAACATAATACTTAATTATTATCTTTATAAAATGTTATATTATTAAACCAAAAATAAATTATTTTGTTATTGAACTTAAATTAAATTATAATATAAAAAATTAAAAAAATTACATAAAAAATGAGAACTTTTAAATAGTTGATTTGATATTAACATTGATATATATTTTTTTAATTTGACAAAAACTCTTAAAAACCACTTTTATGCGTAAAGTACTGTTATTAATGCATATTACTTAAAACTCAAGATTGCAAGTAGATTGTGTATAAGTACAACTTATTAAAGCTCCATATTTGAATTCGTGTAACTAACTGCAGATAAACATAATAAATAGAAGATAAACATCTCATTTTAAATATAAAAAATCTAAAATATAATTAGGATAATCTCTAACAGAATACTTAATTATTATCTTTATAAAATGTTATATTATTAAACCAAAAATAAATTATTTCGTTATTAAACTTAAATTAAATTATGATATAAAAAATTAAAGAAAATTACATAAAAAAAATGAAAACTTTTAAATAGTTGATTTGATATTAGCATTGATATATATATATATTTTCAAATTTTTATGATATCTTCACATATATGTTTTATTCAAAAATAAAATCACTATTGCTTTCTTAAAAACACATAAAATCGTATTATAACATTCACATAGATAAATAAAATAATAGAACATTAAAATCGAGATATGTCTCGCTGCATTGCGTGAGTACTCTTCTAGTATCTGTAAAAAAAAGACTCTAGTAATCTTTTCCATTTAATAGGCAATTTGTTTATTTGCATTTTGTATAATAAAATAAATTAAATATTTCCCTAAATCGGCATCTTGTATCTCATGGACAACGACGGTTGGTGGTGGTATCTGTCCACTACTGTTTTTGCACCTCCTGATAGACATCGGACATATGAAGCTCTTCCTTGCACACGTATTTTCTTCTTTAACATTCATATCCGTGGGTCCAATGCCTTTACACTTATTTATCTGTTTATTTTGTATTTAAATATGTGGTTAGTATTCAAATCATCAACCAGACCAAATAATTAGCGAAATGCTTGATTTAAGATTGAAAAGTATAAATTATCATCGTTTTTATTGAATAAACTACAAATTTGGTCCTTGTGGTTTGTTCAAATTTACATTTATAGTTTTGAAATTATAAACCGTCTGGATTTGGTCTCTTCTTCTAAATGAATAGCAGTTTCATTCTTTTATTGATTTTTTTTTATCTTTTCTTCAATCAAAACCACAATAACCAAAGCCATCAAAATCGATTTTGATTAGATAAATACACAAAAATACCTTACATTTAACGGAACTGTTGTTAGAAAATGGAATCAAATCCGACGTTTTCACAAACCATCATGGCTATTTTGTAATTTTAAAGCTGTAGATATGAAAACGTTATTTTCAACAAATCAGAGGGATCAAATATGTAGTTTACTCAATCGTTGTAGTCTATTTTGACATCTAATATTTCTATAAAATAGATAAGCAAGATATCTTCAATATAATATATTTTAATCAGAATAAAATAAAATATAAAAGCCATCGAAGAATGTAAGATAGTGGTGCCATGCTTTAATTTATAAAATGATGATAAATAAAGGGAGAAAATGGTCAAAAAGGAGGTGATAATATAAATTTAAGAGGTGTAGAAGGCGGCAATGAGGAGTGCCTCAAATTTCCCATCCACCACCAAAACCAACATCCTTTCTTTTTGCCCACTTGATTCTTTCCATACAAATACTTTCTTTTATATTAAACTACAAAGGTAATTGCCTAATTAGGGGTCAGTAATGGAATCAGGTATTCAGTTGTGGAATCGGAATTGCCTTAAAACTGCCGGTTCTGGAACCGGAACTGATATGAGTGGTTTCGGTTCCAGTTCTTAAAATACGGAACTGATTGAGAATAGTTTCGATTCCGGTTCTCAATTGTTTGGAACCGTTACCTGTCGGAACCGGTTCCGGGACCGGGTACCCGGAATCGGCAGGTACCCTGAACCAGAACCGGCGGGTACCCGGTATTTTTCAATTAAAAAAATAATTAATTTTTTAAATACTAAATTTAAATTAGGTCAAGAATTTAGAACTCTAGATTAGATTTTTGGTCTCGCCTCTACGCCTCTACGCCTCATCGACTCATACTCTCAGGCCTGAGGCCTTTCACGGACCGTCTTCAAATCGAATTATAGTATGTAATCGTTAAACTTTGAACATTTACAATTATAGTATGTAATCATTAAACTTTCAACATTTACTATCAGTCTATTAAAGTTTGTAATCATTAAACAATATTTGTAACCATTATTCCGTATAATTTGTATTCTTGTTTATTTATTTAGTGTTTTGGCAATGTTTTATTTTTTTATTTCTAAATAATAAAATTTTAATATTTTAGGAAGCAGGTACCCGGAACTGGAATCGGTTCCTGACGGTTCCGGTTCCAAAAATTCAAGAACCGCTCTAACCGGTTCCGGTTCCAATATCTCAAGAACCGCCGGTTCCGGTTCTTGTCAAATAGGACGGGTACCCGCCTATGCTCACCCCTATGCTCACCCCTATGCACAATGCAATGAGATACATCTCGATTTTAATGTTTCGTTTTTTTTTTGTCTCAGATGATGTTATAATACAGTTTCATGTGGTTTTAGAAAACAATAATGTTTTTAGTTTTGAATAAAATATAGATATAAAGATATCATAAAAATGAAAAAAAATATATTGATATTAGTACGAAACTAACTATTTAAAATTTCTCTTTTTTGTGTATTTCTTTAATTTATTTTTTTGTTTAATAATATAATTTTTTATAGAGATAA